GATCTTCATTAATCCTTCACACTTAATGTATCAACCCATTGCTGCTGAGGATGGCATTTACTTACATGACATACCTATCTCATCTGTTTACTGTTTACCTTGTTTGTCGGAAGTATTCTTTTAATTTTTTTTATAGTCAATAGCATTGTTAGAAATATAATGATTATCGTAAAGTCAGTGGCATTAATAACAGCATTGATATTAATAGTATTAGAAGGCAAAGTTCACATTTGTGAGGTCACATATAGGGACCTACCAATGGATTTCTTGGAGCCATCTACGTGTAAACAAAATTCACAAGGCAAAACTACAGTTATTGTGCCTGGCATAGTAACTTATTGTTAATCACCATTACCAAAATTGTAATATGTTCAGTGAAGTATAGTGTGAATGTTTTAGATATACCATGTTTTCTCTTTGCAATAATCTGTATTCTGATCTGTTATCATGTTTTCAGTTCAAAATATAGATCATTTGTTGACTGGTGATATTTGATAAGGGAAGAGTATGATCAGAGGCCCCTAGCTAATGAATGTTATTGTGGGTGCAGCGTTGTAATTTTCTAACAGTGTGTACAGATTTCTGCCCATTCTTAAATTATGAAAGAAATTAGGTGACAGACAGCTCTATACAGCACCCCTTCTTCCTGCAGTATGCTCCACACATAGAACATGTTAGGTTTAAGCTATCCTATATTATTTCAGTATTGATATATTAAAGTTTATTTAAATCTCATCTGCAGGTGACTTGGGAACAAGATTTCGAACCCTACATTGTTGTGCGTAAAGACGTTCCTGAATATGACACCCGATTTGTAGGTTTTGGATGGAACAAGGTAAGGATAAAGGCTTTCAGTTCATGTCCGTTTCACATAATGTGTATATCATGAATGGAAGTGAAGAAAATTGCCTGTTATATTAATCTCTTATTATACTTTGTTAAGAACTAGTTCACCGTAAATTGTAACTGAGGATAAGTATTATGTTATTTATTTTTGTAGGTGTGAACCATTTATATTTTACTTCAAGGGAATATCCATTGTTTGATTTTTTTTTTTTTTTTACTTGATTAAGGTCTAAAGTGTAAATAGGATAGAACAAAAATGTGCTTAAATGAAGTACATTGAATATAGCTTGGTGATTGTGAAGATAAATCACCTCTGTTCATGAGAATTTATTTAACAGGTGTCACATATCATGGAGTTACATGTGATGGGTTTTGACTTCATTGTCCTTCCAAACTCCTTCATTGTCCACATGCCTCACGCCCCTAGTCTTGACATTGCCAAATTCCGTACATCTCCACAGTACAAAAGGTGAGTTCCAGTTTTTTTTTATTTTATTTTATTTTTTTTTATTTATTATTATTATTATTATTATTATTATTATTATTATTATTATTTTTTTTTTTTTTATTTATTTTTTTTTTCTTTCTTTTTTTTTTTGTATTTAGGTAGGGTCTGTTGTATTTTGAGAGGGAATGGTGTGTGTGTTTATTGTATTGTGATAATGGAAAAAGATCTTGTGTTGATTTAAGGTTTTATTATTTCATTTATCTGCAAAAGTGTGTGCCAAGTATTCTGGTAGGCTTGAAGAGGCAAAGTTTGAAGTTAGATTATTTTGTAAGGAGTTTAGATAGAGGAGAATAAATATTTTGATTATTTTTTCTCAATATGTCATTGCAAACTTGCTAGGATTTCTCTGCTGGATTTCTTGGAGCTTTTATATAGCTGATGTAAGGTGCAATGGCATTCCTGCTTAATTTATTGGTATAGGATTGTATTTATTTGGTCTTTGTTATATTTGATTGTGAATGATAAAATTAAGAAACTTTGATTATGGTAAAAAGTGATTAGATATTGCTTATTTAGGTTTAGAAATTGTAACTCTTTAACTTTTTTTTAATTTGAACTGATTGAATTTCCCTTACAAATTCAATATTCAACCCTTAACCCCTTAAATCCGGTTGCTTCACGGCAATCACATGGCCAAAAATCAGGGCATTACGTTTATCATAGTGGCCGCTGTGCCAGGTGCACGGCAAGCGCAAACACTCGTGCAAACTGACAAGGCTCTTTGCCTCCTATTTGCAGTGTTATTTTCTCTTTTTATGCATAAGCTTTTTAGTTTTTTATGCCATTTTCCAATGTCCATATTTGTCATATGATCTGCATTATCCAGATGGTAATAGACTATTTTCTTTGCACCAACTCTATATCTTCTCTCTGTGACAGTGATTCTTAACCTTTTAACTACGGTGCCCCCCTTTAGAAGTTTCTTTCCCTCCACAAATCTCTTGCATCTGTAAATAAAATTCCCTTCCAGACTTTAAAGAAAATTATAAGTATGTTTTGTGAGTTTTTTTAATGTGTATGAATTAGTGGCATTATGATTAAACCTTCCATTATGTGACCATGCTCTTGTTAAGAGAATAACAAAGATAATTAGAGAAATTACTGCCTTTTTTCCAAGGGCTCGTACCCCCTTCAAAAATACTGAGGCCCCCCTAGGGGGAGTACCTCCCAGGTCAAGAACCACTGCTCTAGGTTGTCAAGAATTCAGTGGGGGGAGGGGGGGAGGAATTGTTATTTTTTGTTATTATTATTATTATTTTTTGCAATATTCAGTTTTTTGTAATACAACCTGTGCCCCTGGTCACCTCGGCCAGAAATATGATACTGAGCATGGAAATGGTGTCCTTCATGGAGCCGCTGCTCTTCCAGTCATGGCTCACGCACATTACATTCCACATTTGTTTATTGATGGGCCAAATCCTAATCACCCTCCCAAGAGGTTTGTGAACTCGTGGCAAGTCCCTCCAGTCACCCTGGCCTTCAGCCCAAATGCTCATGACTGCACGTTCGCGCCACCTGGCCCATCCAGATTTTTCAGCATGTTCACGGTTGATGTGATGGTCATGTCATTGGGACTGTAGGGGTTAAAGGACATCCAGTCAAACAGTCTGATACAAATGTAATGCATTTGTTCTCTAAACAAACACTCCTGTATACTCCAGTCTAATTTACACAAAAAGTTAGTTACATTTCTGGAAGCTATTGGTCAAATTCTACAATACAAAACTGGAAATTATCACTGCTAATTTCCTGTGAAAATATTAGTATAACTTGCCTTGTGTCCTCTACATCCTTACTTGAGTGCTCCTAAATAAAGAATGCACATCCCTCAAGGGTTAACATGATAAAGGATTTAGCTAGAGTTTTATTTTATTTATTTATTTTTTATTTTTTATTTTTATTTTTTATTTTTTGTAAATATTGCAGTTGTAAAGTATAGAAATTGTGTGTATGAGTGCATGCCTGTGTGTATATAAGTCATGTATACTTTCATTTAGTTCATTTAGATCTGATCCATTGGTTTAAGTATAAATGTCCATTTTGCCTCAGAGTCAAACCACAACCCTTACTGATACCATTACCCACAGCTGAATTGACCAAGAAAAGCCTAGCAAACCTATGGACGGGAAAGCCAGCACTCTGTCACTGAGCTCTGTCACTATATTTGCTATGTACAATGTTTACTTGTATAAAGGTATTGTTAAATTAAATCTACTTTCCTTTCAGATGTGTCAAGATTCTGAAGAGAGAGTTTGTGGATGACCTCAATAGGAAATACAATAGTGATATTTCTCTGCAGTGAAAATGCATTTATTGGACAAGGAAATTACCCAGGTCTTCCTTCAGAGAATATGATTTATTTTTTCTGGTATCCAGAATGTTAAGAAAGTTTTTGAAAGTGAAACAGAATTATTATAGTAATCACAGCCTTTTTTAATATGATCATATTTCAGATTTTATGATATGCTTATATATTTTTGGAAGATATTTACAAACCAAATATGTATAATAAGTAAGTCCTGTTTATGGCAATAAGTATTTTGTGATGTGATGCCCACGTAAAACCTTGCATTTTTCTTTTGTCGCAAATTACAACCTTGTAATTGGTGTCGAGATCTCTTGGTTTTGCTTGATCAAAGACGTGCCAAGTAAATGCTGGAAGTGAAGGCATTTTTCTCCATTTTCATGCACAACGAATGTATCAAGCTTTGCTTTCATTCTTAGTTGTTAATTTGTCACTGATGTTATTATTGATATTATTGATTTTATTATTATTATTACTATTATTATTGTTATCAGTGTTATTATTGTTTTATATTTATAAGCTGTATCTCCATATTCTGTTAAAAAAAAAAATCAGCAATTGGTTGTTTTTTTCTGTTAAAAGAAGTTACAATTAAATTGGGTGCTATAATAGTTGAATGACTTAGATAAGGTTGGGATCTGAAATGCAGATATTGCTGTCATAATGGAGACTTCACATAAATGTCTTTTATGTTTTATGTGGAATTAGTGCTTGTTAATTTTTTTTTGTAAGGGAAAAGATTATAAGCATCAGAATAACTGAAAATAAAAGAAAGAAAGAAGGAGAAGAAGAGTGCCGTCCTTTCTGCAAGAATAAGGGAAGATAAGGGAATAATTGGCAATAACAGGTGTTATTGTTTAATACAGGAGGTGAAATTGAAGCATTTATTTATTTATTCCTTGGAGATTATTCTGAACATATTCTTCAATTCAAAGTTCAAGATACTTGTTACCATGTACTTATAATGACACAAACTTTGATTATTGAATATCTGAGGTAATATTATGAAACTTTTATGAAGGAATTCTCTATAGTGGTATATTTTATTTGCAATGTTCCTTTTTTTTACATTACGTATGTACATGTAAGTTTGAGACAGATCTTGTATTACTCATAAACATATCAACTGTTAACAGACCTTTTTCATTATAATTAGTACATATTGATGATGTCCTGTGATGTCAAACCAGAGATATTAATACAGTGATTAAATCCTAGAAAGGAAATATTTTTTGTTTGTGTTCATTTATATTAGAGTGCCTTTTAGGAAATTGACATGCATTTTACATGAGGTTATGTGCTTTTTATTAGCTGTACTTTTCCTGGTAGTGTGAGAATCTTTATTGGTTCCAGAACTAGAGTAGAGTTTATTCAGTACATTAGAATTTGGGAGGATTAAATATGGTGATGAAAATGAGATCTGTTCCAAACTGTGTATGTAAGATAATTTTTTTCTTTTCTTTTCTTTTCTTTTAGAGATGTATGAAGATTATTTGCATAAATGTAAAAGCGAATTGTTCACAAGTGATCCTTCCCTTGTGTTTTTACAAAAAGAGTTACCACAGGAGATAATACAGTTGTGTATTTTATAAGCAGCCATTTGTTTGCATGAGACTGAAGCGTAATGCAGTAAGAAAGAGTGTGTCATTTTTACAAAAAAAAAAAGTGAGATAAATGCCAACCAAAGGTATTATAAACTGGTAGATCTGAGTGTTTTCCTTTTTTTTTGTACCTCTTGATTCATCTGAAGTTAAAAGTTTCCTCATTTCTGACTGCATTTGATATATTGGTTATCAAATTGGATATTGTAATTTATATTAAACTGTTGTTCCTTCCATACATAGGTTGTAATATCGTGACTAATGATAATAGAGCCCAGTTTTCATCATGTTGAATAATCATGAAAAGCAATAGGAAACTACCTTTTATGATATAAGAACAAATATTTTTGCTAACAAAAAGAGTCCATGGAATACCTTCTCTGGGCAGTGAATGAATGATTAACACTGTTTTATGTCTTCCCATTTATTACTATTTTTGTGTTAATTTCCAGTGCTCTCACTGATGGAAGAAAGGATGCATTTAGTCACGTGTTGCACATGTTAAAGGTGTCAGTAAATTTTGAACAAAGCAAGACACATGTTAAAGTTATGTGCATTTCATTGGCATTTTTTCTCCTCCCTTTTCCATAGTGAGAAACAAATTACAATGAGGTACTTTAACTATGTAGAGGCAGATAGAATAAGTCTGTCTCGCGGGAAAGGGCTAACTGGATAGAAGGCAACTAAAATCAATAAGTTCTGGACTACAGCCAGAAGTTCCTATATTTTCAAGTATTCTTCTAGTCTTACTAATAGGTTATCTTCTCAGTACCTGTCAGATAACTTGTAGTTTTATTTTAATACTTCTTACGATGTTCTGGTTGCAAAGAACTTGATGGTGAAGGTTGGTTTTGAAGTTGAAAAGAAAAGAATACAAGTTTGTTAATTGGCTGTTTTCTTTCCAAGTTAGATGTGAGTACATTGTATTGTGTTAGGGTATGTAATTGTGATTATGTGTGTGCATGCCTATGTATGCGTGTGTGTCGATGTCTGTGTAAATGTTATTGCCAAATTAAGTACAGTAATTGGATTGTGCAAACAGTTTTGTTTTTGTGTGTTCAGTATCTATTCCAATTTGAACAAATATTTTGTGCAATGACCAAGTTTGTCTTTTCATAGTAAACTTAAATAATTTATTAAGTTCCTGTAATCTTTACAAATTCATGAGTTCAAATATTATTTAGCATCTGTGATTAGACTAAGAGCATCAGGAAATAGTTTCTGTAATTTATTTCTCTTTACCATCAAATGAAATACACATTCATCCTTTGAGAATCTCGGAAAGAGTTTTTAAGAGCAGCTTTATTTTTCTGCAGTTGGAAGGCTATAACAAATGCTGTGACTTAGAATGAAAAATAATTGTACATGGAAGCAAGTCCTGTGAGAACTTGCTTCATTGATAGCTGTGGCACTTAATACTGGAATGATTAACGTATACAGTAAGGTCTATTCTTACCATACCTTTTTGTTAATAAGAATACTTTCAATTCTTTGATTTTCAATATCAATGACCAAAAAAAAAAAAAAAACAAGCATCAAAACAGAGCTTTTAGATGATTGCAATGCTGTTATTCGGCTGCATTAGTTACGAATGCATTAGGCTTTTATTTCGGTGCTTACTTACATTAAGTAATTGCACTTTCCTCTCCGCTCGATAGTAGTGTTTGCCAAAGGTGGTTTTGAATAAAGTGAAGCTTCCCGTTATATATTCAAGGAGGCTGGTCTGAGTTACTTTATGGGATCTAATAACAGGTGATGAGTCGGTGAAACAGGTACGTTTCACCTGCTTCACTGGTAGAGTAGATTTACTCGCTATCCTTTAGTTATTTAAGTATTTATATTCAGAATATCGATCTTAACCTTCGTACCAAATTGTTTGTTTTAAGTTGTGACTAATTTGACAGTTGTTTGTCATTATTATTATTATTATTATTATTTTTTAAGTATTATTATCTACAGTATATCTACTTTTTTTTGCAAAATGAAATATGAAATATAATGATGTCATGATTTGCTGTAGTTCAGAGCAAACAAATTAGTTATTGTATGGCTCATGCAGTGGCAATTGAAAAGGAAAATTGGTCATAATGTTTTCAGTCACATGTTAAGAGCACAAGTGTATTTTTTTATGAGCTTCTGATCAGATGAGATTTTTTTCTCTATATATATGTTTTGTGATTTACCAGTAATGTATGAGTAATTTTACTATCTAATAAATATATGATTAGTTTATTTTGTTTTTTCAGTTTACCTGTTATAGTTGTGACAATATGAAAAAGGAAATAGGGAAATAAGGAAAACCTGATAAAAAGGTGTGATAAAAGATCTATGGGAAAGAATTGCAGTCAAAGTTACTCTGAATATATTTAGGATATTTTCTTATTTTTTGTCTTTATATTCTTATAGTCACATTATTATTATTATATTATTATCATTATTATTTTTATTATTGTTATTGTTAATATTATTATTATTATTATTATTATTATTATTATTATTATTATTATTATTATTATTATTATTATTATTATTATTATTATTATTATTATTATTATTATTATTATTATTATTATTATTATTATTATTATTATTATTATTATTATTATTATTATTATTATTATTATTATTATTATTATTATTATTATTATTATTATTATTATTATTATTTTTTAAGTATTATTATCTACAGTATATCTACTTTTTTTTGCAAAATGAAATATGAAATATAATGATGTCATGATTTGCTGTAGTTCAGAGCAAACAAATTAGTTATTGTATGGCTCATGCAGTGGCAATTGAAAAGGAAAATTGGTCATAATGTTTTCAGTCACATGTTAAGAGCACAAGTGTATTTTTTTATGAGCTTCTGATCAGATGAGATTTTTTTCTCTATATATATGTTTTGTGATTTACCAGTAATGTATGAGTAATTTTACTATCTAATAAATATATGATTAGTTTATTTTGTTTTTTCAGTTTACCTGTTATAGTTGTGACAATATGAAAAAGGAAATAGGGAAATAAGGAAAACCTGATAAAAAGGTGTGATATAAGATCTATGGGAAAGAATTGCAGTCAAAGTTACGCTGAATATATTTAGGATATTTTCTTGTTTTTTGTTTTTATATTCTTATAGTTACATTATTATTATTATTATTTTTTAAGTATTATTATCTACAGTATATCTACTTTTTTTTGCAAAATGAAATATGAAATATAATGATGTCATGATTTGCTGTAGTTCAGAGCAAACAAATTAGTTATTGTATGGCTCATGCAGTGGCAATTGAAAAGGAAAATTGGTCATAATGTTTTCAGTCACATGTTAAGAGCACAAGTGTATTTTTTTATGAGCTTCTGATCAGATGAGATTTTTTTCTCTATATATATGTTTTGTGATTTACCAGTAATGTATGAGTAATTTTACTATCTAATAAATATATGATTAATTAATTTTGTTTTTATTGTCAATTCGGAATTACCATTACCACTCATAAAGACAGATTTCAGCATCGCCATAACCGGCCAATTGCGCGTCTCAGGAACTCTCAGATGGTTTTGATTGCCTATATATTTTATATGGAATAATCACTTAATCTCTATGAGCATTATTGAAGGTGCATAGGAGATATCTTAAATATGTAAAAACTTTACATACTTGGGAGTTTTCTAATGGTTATATATATATGATCATGAATCATTTCTACATCTCTTCACAAAGCACAAGAGCAATCACCACTGAAAACAAACGGTAAATGAAACGCTCTTTGTTGCTGGATTAAATATAATGGCGTACGATGCCAATGTATTCATTATAACGCAGAAGAATCAACCTCTTATGCTGCCAGATGGTGTTATTCGGCGGGAAATTTGAAAAGAAATTAATTGCTTATGGACGTTTCGAGAGGCGAAAAATTGGCACTCCACAAAGGGCGTTTTGCAGTCGACATGAGCCGGTCGTCCTCCCAGATAATTAATAGTAAATAGCCATTGTTAGATTCCCATTGGCGACGACCTTGTGATATATAAAAAAATAAGATTTGTGGATCATGTTTAGAATAGATTTTTATGCGCGAAACTGGGCGGAAACAGAAATGTATGATTTTAAAACTATTCATATGTATCGCATGTGTGGTATTTATGATATATTACTGATTTGGAAGTCTGTTGGATAAGTTGAACAACTTTTTGTTTCCCGATTTGGTCTTTCTGCATAAATGGTATAATTTCAATAAATCTACGAGCACCGTAACAACAACAACAAAATGATAAATAAATAAATAAAAAAAATAATGTCTGTATTTGCTACAACGAGAGTAGGCACCGAAGACGTTCTCGTGAACATAATCTTTCTCTAGTTTTTTCCTCGTTTTTATTTTTCGTGTAGATTGGCTATAAAAGACGCCATGACCATTGTTTGCATTAATCAAATCAAACCTATATGCGCAACTTTTTTTTTTTGTAATTTTGTAGTACTGCATTACAAGTAAATTCGCATGGTAGTTGCTTATATGGAATACCAGATTTTGACACGGAAAGAGATAGACAGAACGGTTCATGGATGAGGAGTAACAGACAAGTTCAACTGAAAGATTCCCGAAAAAAGATAGCTGTTGTATTTCATAATCAAATGTTAAAATTGAAATGCCAACGTGTATCATATTCGTTATATTTCTTCGCTACACATTAATCGTACTACTGGTCAATTAAGAGTTTCTCGAACCGCAAGGAAATAACGCG